TTTTTTTCTGTCAATTTCTTCCTGATTCCTAGCAATCTGCATACAGCATTGTCTTTCTGCTCCAGCTACACTGGCCTTCATAGTTCTAGGCCTTCATAGTCACCACACTACATCTTATCATAGGACCTTTACCTATATCTGATCTCACGTTCTCCATTTTTCATTCATTTAACTTCTTTGCATCAGACCATAGAAGACTTTTCTGACCTTGCTGAAACCTCTGTAAGAAACACACTGGCCCTGGTTATAGCTGTAGATTTATTAATAGCTGTAGTTTTGTTTTTGTTCACTTGACTGTTTGATTGATAGGTACTCCCCCCAAGGCTAAAACTTCAGGAGGACAGGGATCATATCTGGCAAGTTATTGTACTCATAGAGGCTAACAAACTAGACACTTTCATCAATAAATAGTTGGTGAAATCAATGAATAAATTTTTCAATAGCAAAGGGATAAGGATAATTGATATATGCCATAAAATAATTTATATTAATCTAAACTGTTGTCCAGTTATTAAGCTGTTTGAAGTGATTGGTTGGGATATTATCTTTCAAATGTCAAGTGCAGATTACTTGAATATAGTGTATAGATTTATGGAGGCAAAATGCAAATGAACATTTGGAACTAAGCACTCTAGATCCTTCAACAAAGCAGCTGACCTTTTAATGGCTGCTTTACCCAGGCATTCAAACAAAAGAGTTTATATCCAGTTATTAAGCTGTTTGAAGTGATTGGTTGGGATATTATCTTTCAAATGTCAAGTGCAGATTACTTGAATATAGTGTATAGATTTATGGAGGCAAAATGCAAATGAACATTTGGAACTAAGCACTCTAGATCCTTCAACAAAGCAGCTGACCTTTTAATGGCTGCTTTACCCAGGCATTCAAACAAAAGAGTTTATATATAATAACAAGATAAATACATTCCCACAGAGTCTAATCCTTAAAACAAATATTTTGGAGAGCTGATGGCCTGGTATGAGAGTTCTGGCAAAAGAAATAACAATACTCTATCCACTTTGAAGACTCAAGACTTTAATTTAAATGACAATCTGAATCAAAACACTAAGTTTTAAAAATAATTCCAAGAATAGAGTTTCCAAATAAACTTGCAGTTGACAGGAAAATCCTACAAAGTTGTCTTTTTAAAATGGTTACTCTCCTTAGTAGGTATTAATTTAGACATGTGCTCAAAGATAGAGAAATTTCTCCACATACATGGTACAAAATGGTCAGTAGTAATTTCAAAAAACATTATTGAGCATTTACTAAAAAATGTGCTGGTGTGCTTTACAGTAGAAACAATGTATTGTGTTTTTAAATTGTTTTTTGAATATAGCAAAATGCCTAGCTAAAGAGTTCAAGCAAAAAACAAACAGACAAACAAACAGGCAATTCTTCCACCTATACCATAAACCCTACAGGTTCACAATACAATACTCAATGAGATTATCAATGAAATGAGTTCTCTCTATTCTGTGTCTGCCATTTCATGAATTCACACTGACTCTCACAGCTCAGCCCTCACAACTGCATTTAAAGGTGATGCTCATTATGATGGAGGGACAAGCCAATGCAAAATGTAAATTTTTTAATGTTTTTACTATTTTTTTAGTATAATCCAAATAGTAAAGACAGAATAAATAGGCAGTCACACCAAGAGACACTATAGTGAAGTGTGGGCAAAGAGAAAAATCTTTTAAGTTGTGAGGAAAAAATTATATTACCATTGGGAACAACAGACTTTGAGAATATTTATTAATAACAAGAGCAACAGCCAGAAGGCAGTGGAATAATATCTTTAAAGCACAGAGAAATGCTGGGTGTGGCGGTTCATGCCTATAACCCCAGCACTCAGCAGGCTGAGGCAGGAGGACTGCTGTGAGTTCAAGGCCAGCCTGAACTACATAGCAAGACCCTATCTCAAAAAGCCAAAAAAGCAAAAAGTACAAAGAAGAAAGTAGGTGACTATCCATATTTTAATACCTAAACTATCTTTCTAAACAAAGGAAAAATAAAAATATTTTCCCATAATCACAAAATGATAGTTTACCATCACTCATTAGAAGAATTTCTACAGGATGAAAGAAAATCAATTCTAGGAAGAACAGCTGAGATAAAACAAAAAGCAAACAAACAAAAAACAGATAGCAAAGAAAATGTTAAACAATTGAGTAATACAAACTACCACTATGTTAAATAATATCTTTCAATCACTCCCCCAAATATTTTTGTAGTACTGGGATTAAACCCAGGGTCTCTACATACCCAACCTCCATAATGTCTTAATTATGGTGCTAAAAATATAAAACTAAAATGCTAGTAAAAATGGCACACAAATTGGAAGGAGGAGGTGAGCTTATGACATTCAAAGGTCTGTGTTTTGTTTAAGGAGGGTAGAACATCAGTTAAGATTTTAATAAATTACACATACACATGAATATACATGTTAAAATTTCAGGAGAATCTGTAAAATATAAAAGTAAAAGTATATAAGGTGTGATCAAAAAGTATAGTGAATGTTTACATTTTTAAAAAATTTTGTTACAGTAATAGAGACACTGCCTTTAATTCCCTGCCACATACCTCACATCTCATAATTCTTTCCACTTTCTGAAGTAGCTCTGCAAGTTCCTATTTTGTGAGTCTTTAGTTGTGATGTCATGGTTGTTTCCATGTTCTGAAATGTTTATCTTTCATGGTCATTTTGACATTAGAGAACAGTCAGAGGTTGCATAGTGTGAAGTTCATTGAATAAGGTAGATGAGAATATACTCTCTAATATACTCTCTAATGTTTTTATGAGACTGCCTTTCTGTTCAGTGGCACTTGGCAACAATATTCACCATATTTTTAAATCATAACTCTTATAGAAACACATGAGAGAAGACTTCCTGAAGTGCTTTGCAAATGGCAAGAATGAGGGAATAATTATGTTTGAAGTGAGGGGAATACTTTGAGGGGGCTTGGTGCAATTTTACTACAATAATTTTTTTAAACATTCATATATTTTGATTGTATGCTTCAAATTAGTAAAGGGGAAAAATAAAGAAAAAAACCCACTGAAAATTAATCCAATAAAAGTCAAGAAAGTTTTAAAAAAAATGTAAAAAAATGGAGAACAACAGATTGAGTAAAATAAATTGGTAGAAATGGAACCCAAATATATTAACCATAAAGGTAAGTGGACTAAATTTTTTTGTCCTAAAATGTACCAATAAACTCAATTAAAAATTAATAAAATTGAAAAAGCTTTGGCAAATTGAAGAAAGTAGATAATTTTTTTTCAAGATAACTGGTCTTTCATTGGTACATTTTAGGTATACAGTACAGTTACATAATTTCATTAGTGGGATCTTGTACCTTTACATGACAGGTCTTGGTTCTCATTTTTTCCCCTTGTCCCTGCCCTCCCTTCACCCCCTCTACAATTTTAAAAATAGAAAAGGAGGCACTGTAAATACAACAAAAATTATATAGATAAAATATTACTAGCAATTTATTAATAAAATTTAAGTAAAATGGACAAATCCCTGGAAATATATAACTTAACAAAACTGACAAGAAATTTTCAATCTGAACTTTAAAAATATCAGGACAGATTCTGAGTTCATATGCAACTGCACAGCTGTACTTTTTGCTTATAATCTGTTCTGATTGGTTGGTATAACTGGTCTAATTCATTGTTAAATAGCTTATAATCCAGACTATAATCATTAATGAAACATCAGTGAAGATTTTCATACAAAGAAAGCACAGGACCAGACAGTATACAACAAGTTTCCCAAGATTCAAGGAGCAGATAATTCCAATTCTAAACTCTTTCTAAAAGTATATAAAGAAGAACATCTCACTACTTTTATAAGGATAGTATAACAGAACAAAAAAATTAAAAATCTAATTCCATTCTTGACATTCTTGATTATCTATATAAAAATACTGGCAACTATATCTAGCATGCCCCCCTCTATTATCATCATCATCATCATTGAATAGATAATAATAGTTTATTCCATTATTCCATGAATAGGTTATTACAGCATTACATTAATATAATTTACATTAATAGATTAAAATTTGAAATCCACATGATCATTTCAAAAGAGGTTAAAAAAATTCAAGATAATTGCACAAGCTATTCATAGTGAAAATAAACAAGAATTTCTTAGCTAAAGAATAGGAAAAATCCTTAGCCTACATAATAAAGAATATATGCAAATAAACTCCAGTACACAAAATGTTCCACAGTAAAAAAGTTAAAAAAGCATTTCCTTGAAAAGCAAGGAATAAAACAAGGAAATAAAACCATCACCATTTCTAACGACTGTGCTGGAGGTCTAGCTATTATAGAACATCAAAAGCAACAACAAAACACAAACTAATCAGAAAGGGAAAAACAAAGTTATCATTATTTATAAGCAAAATAATTATCTACATGAAAAACTTAAAGACTTTACCAAAAATTATAAAAAGTAAGAAATTTAGAAAGATTGCTAGATACAAGATCAATGAACAAAGGTGAATTTCATTCCTATATACCAGCAAAAGTAGATGCAAAATTTAATTTTAAAATGATACCATTTACAATAGTATAAAACATTAGAGATCTACCAATAAATCTAACAAAAATATTCTTAATATTTATAGTATTCATATAGAATACTATAAAAATTGCCTGAAATACATGTAAAAACACCTAATGGAGAAACATGACATGAACAAGTTCTATTTTTAAAATGTCAGTATTCCCCAAACTCTATAGATTGAATGAAAATCCAAGTAACTTTTCTATGAGATGCTTACATTTATATGAAAGAACAAAGTTCCACATATTGCTAAGATACTTCTAATAAAAAAACAGAAGTCTTTTTCTAGCAAATATAAACATATTATAAAGCCATATTTATTAAGACAAAATCAAATTACCATAGAGATAAAGAAACTGGTCAACGAATCAGGAAAGAGAGCCAAACTTTGGTAGAATTGATATTGCACACGGGTGGAGAAAAACATGGACTTCTCAATGTGAATACAGCTAGGATAATCCATATGAAGGAGAATAAAAGGAATTGGACCCCTATCGTAAGTATACACACAGTCTGTCAAAAAATGTATAGAGATATCATGAGATTAATACAAGTTACCTTTGGCCTCTATAATGACAGGTGTTCAAAATGGTGGCCATTAGTTTTCAGACAATTATTAGTATGGCAAACTACTGTTTGGGTAACTTGGTCATTCAGATTGCTGCACATGCATTTTCAATTGCTTCTGTAAAGGCCGACAGTATAGTGAGCTTTCTGCAAAATACAACATCCTCTAGGGTCCTCCATATGAAGGTAACACCATCTGTTGAAAAAGCATTATACTATTTTTCTTTTCTTGAAGTGTGTATGCATTTTTTTGGCGGATTCTGTGTGCACATACAATAACAGTTATATTGAAATGCAAACCTTTGAAAGTTTCTAAAGAAAAATACTGATAAATTTGACTGCATCTAATATTAAACCATTTTTTGTCAAAAATCTATTACCATGGGCTGAGGGATATAGTTCGGTTGTACAAGGCATGTTTACAGTGCATTAAACTCTGGGTCCAATCTCTGTTGTGCTTGCTCCTAAACACTTTTCATAGCAGCTGTACTCTTATTATAATCAAGTACTTTAAATGAATATTACTAAATCTAATAATAATGTGAAAAGAGTAAGTTTTTATTTGTATGAAAAGTTAAGTTATCTGCTTTAGAAAGATTCAATACAGACAGGTTATTAAAAAATGTTGGTTTGGGCACAGCAACTATAAAATACAAGGGGAAAAATGTAAGATTCTGTTTTTTTCATTTTATTTTGGCTTTCAGTTTTTTGGAGACAGAGTCTCATTGTGTTCCAAGCTGGCCTTGAATTTGGATCCTTCTTGCCCCAGCCTCCCAAAATGTCAGGGATATAGTTATATACCATCACACTCATCTAAGAGTCTGTATTTATATTTTTCCACAATTTTTAAAAATTCTTAATCCACATTAGAGAAATCCAAACTAAAAATTACATGTGATGCATTATGGATGCAGTTTATACATGAAAGATATCATGGGACTCAAAATCATTTAAAGAAAATATCATCTAAATGAATAATATTCAGCTACTTTGATCATTTGGTACATCCACATCAACAAAAACGTATGTAATTGCTATGGCAAGAAGATAAGACAGAGAAGACTCATGAAAGAATGAAATGTATCTCTTCCATTCAAAAAAAATTTTTTTTTTGTACTGAGGATCAAACTCAGGACCTTGTACTTGCAAGGCAGGGGCATTGCACCTGCCCTCTTCGACTGAAATTTTCATTGGCCAGAATGAGTCACATGGCCATGTCTAATTTTAATGGGCAAAAAAGTATAATCCTGCATAGTTGGAGGTAGAGAAGGACTGGATAGTTATCTCTGTTGAACTGTGATAAATGTATATTACACGTGTTCCTTTCATAGGATTTTTCAATTTTGACAATTTAAAATAAAACATTGTGATAGGTTGTATTAATAAATTAAAACATTCACTGCCCTTCAAGTTGGAATGTTGCTCATCCTATCACATTGGCATTTTTTTGGATCCTGGGCTTGGCATTGTGCCTTGGAAGGTGCTCCTCAGTGGAGAATTAGGAATCCCTGATACTACAGTGGCAGATATGGACATGTGTCTTGCTTTGGTTTATCAAGTATGAGCAGAAATGATATGAGAGAGTTCTTGGCAGATGTTTTATGAATTAGCACATACAGTATTGTGCCTTGATTCCTTTTCTCTCTAATAGTAAGATTGCAACATGGCAACATGTTGGAAAAGGCTTCTTAACCTAGTTCCCAGAATGTGAATGATATGAATCAGAAATACAGGCAGCTTGGAATAGCATGGGTAGGAAATTATCTTTGTATGTTACTGAGTTACCGAGTTTTTGTCACTGCAGCACAATTTATCCAAAGCTGACTAATATGCATCATCCTTACTGTATCAATGAAAATGTTCACAGCAATAACCAAGGAGAAGTTGAATATGGAAAACTATATATCCCACTTGGAATAGTGACAAACATACAGAATGCTTAAGGTTAACTTTGACAAGACAGGCTTAAAATATATGAAGAAAACTAAAAATATTGTTAAAGAAAACTCGGATATTATTAAAAGACATCAATTCTTCTCCAAGCAATGTAACTCCAATCATAATCCAAATGTCTTCTTAATCTGATTATTTTAAATTTTACATAGAATAACATAATTTATTCACAGTGTTGTTGCCAGAACTAAATGAGCTAAAATATGTGGTTAGGACAATTCAATGGTACCTAGGGTCACAAACTTAATTTGTTTTATGATTTTAGGGAAGACTGCTGTGTTTGTGTTTGTGTGGGGAAGATGGCTATTGTTGTGTTTGTCACCAATGAGGAGTTTGTGGATGGAAGCAAAATTTTGTCAAACACTTTTGTTTGAAAATCAAATTGTTTGTGAACAGAAGTGTTCATCAACTGAAGTATTACTGTTTGACACATGCATACACTCGAGACATGCTAGCTAATTTTTTAATTTAAAATATCATATTAATAGTACCAAAATGTGTCTTAGTTTACATGGGATTTTAATATAGCCATCAAGAGGAAAATAAAATTGGAGCCCTATTTGAATCCATATTAAAAATAAATTCCATATGGATTTAAAATTTTAGAAATGTACAAAATAAGACAAATCATTTCAAATAAATTTTAAGAGGATAAATGTATAAATTAGTGGTTAGGAAAACATTTTAAACTTAAATAATAAACCAGGAGGATGTCAAAGAGTACAGGATTTTCTAAAAAAAAAGTGTTTGTGAAATTACACTGTAAACAGAAGAAAAATAAACTATGAGAAATTTCTGCAGCACATTAAGACAAAGGTTAACATCCATAATATATAACAAGTGTCCATAAACTTAACTTACAGGAAAAATTCCACAGAAAAATGAACAAAGAAGGCGGGAATAGGCATTTCCAAAAAAGCAAATCTAAAGAGTAAACAAATATGAAAAAAATGCTTACTAGTAATAAGATGCAAACTAAAATCATTATGAGTTAATATTTCTCACCCATCAGATCTACGAAAGTTAAATTTGTTTGACAAAAAATGAATTTAAACACTTTTAATCTTTTTTTACTTTTAAAAAGGGGCTTCAAACAAACTCTTCAATAATATAAGGTAGTCAAAGAGGAGATTATTTGGTATGGCAATACCAAATACAAACTGAACTATTTTGGAAGTTCATTTTCCTGGGATATATTATGACAAGACTGATTTAGGATGTTCTTTGTGTCTCCTGCAGTGTATGTTCATTTGGGCTCCAAGCAAAATTTTGCATCTACCTTTGGTCAGTGTTTTTTTTTTTTTTTTTTTTTTTTTTTTGGTACTGGGGATCCAACTCGGGCTTGCAAGGCAGGCAGTGAAACCACTGAGCTAAATCCCTGGCCCTTGGCCAGTGTTTTTTTTTTGTTTTGTTTTTTTTCTTTCTTTGGTTTTTTGAGACAGGGTCTCACTATGTAGTTGAGACTGCCCTGGAACTCAGGGCTGGTCTGTAGCCCAGGCTGGTCTAGAACTCATAGCAATTCTCCTGCCTCAGCCTCCTGAGGTTACAGGAGGATCACAGGCGTGCGCTACAACGCTCGGCTGGCCAGTGTTTTTGCATAACCTTTTGGACAGTGTTTTTGTTTAACTTCCTTACTGCTCCATAATGTTGCCACATGGAAGCTCCTCACAGCACTGCTCAGACACTGTACATGGGTAAGTACTGGAAGCTCTGGCTGGACTCTAGCTGACTATAGCTTTTTTGATCTGTGACTAGTGTGGCTGAACACTCTGGATTCTTCCCCTAGTTATTCAAAGCCCTTCCTTTCTCCTCTTACTCCTCCTTCCCAACTCCTCATCCTTCTTGGAAATGAGTGAGTCCCAGCAGTCATGTCTAAAATAGTCATTAAACTAGACCAAATGCTAATTGTGCCTGGGAGCTAATTTCACCGTGTCTCTAGCACCAGACCTTTCAAACAGAGGGGCAAGGTGTGCTAAACTCACTTACCCTGGAGATGACATGGTGAAAATGAAGTAGGAAGCAAGTAAGAAACAATGGAGGCAGACAGGCTAACAGACAGGCTATCACACTGTTCCTAGACAGATGACAGCTACAAAAGATACCATCAGCTCCATGAAGACGGTGAATGTAAGTCATAGTCTAACAAGGAGTGCAGCAAGGTGTTTTAACTGATTCAATGCAACTATATAGCATATACAATGGAACACAAGGGTTTGCTCTCCTTGGAAGCCAGGAAAACGGGAGTAGAGAGAGTCAGGAAAGCCTTAAGAGAGGGGAAGTGGGGATCTGCCTGAGAGGGTGTGTTGGGGCAATCCAGAAAAGGGAAGGACAGGAACACAAGTATCAAGAAATGATACCAGTGACATTCACAGATTCTAAGTGCTTTAATAGACTGGAGTCAATTATTAAAGAATGAGGCTGGCAGATCACAGAGCTTGATTCCTTTTCTAAAGCAGGCAATGAGGATCTGTAGAAGGGCTCTATAGAGAGAAGTAACAGATTTACTTTTAGAGACAAAATACCATTGGCAGAAATACGGAAGATGGCTTAGAATGAGGCAGGAAGGCTGTGCTCCTGACTCAGGCACCAGGTCACGAATTCCATTAACCATCTCACCCTATTTCTCTAAAAGGCCAGTTCACAGAGGTATTTTAGAAAAAATATATTTTTTTTTTCACTGATGCAAAGACTCCTACATAGAATGATAAACAAACAGTGTTCTTTCCCCCGCTCAAACTCTATTGTGTAAACTTATTGTACATTCTGATTTAATAAATGCTGTAAGGCTGAATAACCTTTGGCATCAATCCCAGATACTGAAACAGCGAGAAAACAAACATGGAACATAGTATCTATCCATCAATCTAATTGTATGGTAAGGTTATGAAGAATTTTCAGAGTTATTATTTCCCTGGCAAAGTATCAAAAACATACCTTCAAAAATTATTCAGAACAGCCATCTGGCATACAATCATGCTGACAGAATGAAAAATGTTGAATAAATAGCCTACGTGTAACTCCCCATTCCTTAAGAAGGAAAGGAAGGGTGTTTTCTAAGGCTCCAGAATGACCTATTTTATCAAATAAATAACATGGTCATAAAAAAAGCCAAGACTAAACTTCTCAACTTACATAGAAAATGGAATCAATCCTTTTTTTTTTTAAAAAAAAAAGACAGATATATTCTGTGATATATAAAAATAGCCAAAAAGATACTTACCAATACATTCATAGTGGTTATTTCTAAGTGACGAACTATAAGTATTATCGTCTCTTCTTTTAACCTTTGTTGTCTAATTTTCTACAATCAATATGCATTACTTCTAGAAGGAAAAACAAAGTCAAATAGACCAAATGAATACTCAGAACATCCTAGGCTGTATTTTTCAACTTTCTGAGTAAGATTACGTAAAGTTACTGAGAGGCATTTTTGAGGTAACCTTCTAATGGGCTTTGAATATAGGCAAAATTTCTTTCTGTAAGTCTTTGACTTTAAGGAGCACATTTTTGAATTTTCCAAAGAAGAAAAACTTCTTGACTCTGTATGCCAGTGGAGGGGAATACTGACACGAGTCTCTGAAAACAGGATGGTGCTGAGTATGTCATGTACACACATATATTAGGCTTTGTAAGGCACTGCACACAAATCTTTTGCAGAGAGAACTGCTAAATTAAATTTTTCTTTGGCTAATATTACTGTGATTCTATGTACCTGCATATGTGTTGGCAAATAAGGGGAAAAGGCCAGAGGGAAAAAAGGAAGGAAGGAAGGAAGAAAGGAAGGAAAATTAGGTCTAACATTTAAAATTAATTGTGTATCATCTAAAAACTACATTCTACAGGCAAGTGGGCAAAAAACTATGGTAAAAATATAAACCACTCTTTAAAAACAGACTTAAAGTTGGACTACACAAACACATGAAAAGTAGAATGCTAAACTTGACCAATATGATGCAATGCAGATATAAAATAATTAAACAAAACATCTGCATTCAAAATAGCCCACTCTGGTTCTTATACTCAAATCCCAGCTTTTTATCCTATGAGGACACTCTTTTTTTTTTTTTTTTGGTACCATGGATCAAACTCAGGTCCTCGCGTTTGAGAGGCAGGTGGTGGAACCACTGAGCTAAATCCCCTGCCCTCTGAGGACACTCTTTTAAAAGCAGCTCCATTTGAAATCATAGTCAGCAAAGTATTTCAGAATATGAAAAACTCATATTCTAAGGTCAAAGGGAAAAGGTCTGTCAAAAAAAAAAACAATGTAAAGTATTTCTCTCTCTCTTAGCACATAGGAAAGGACTTGCAAAGAAAAATTTGTAAATATGATGGATCATAAATTAAGCCCACTGAACTTTTCTCAAAACTAAGAATTCTGACTGTAGAAGATTTGGATGTTATTATTTATAATTTATAGATTTTTTTCCAAGTCCTCTGAAACATCCTATCTTATTGGTTATGATTTTTGTACCACTCTGTTCATATGAACTGTTTTCCTTAAACTTGGAAGGGAGTACAATTTCAGAAATTTAATACCACCATACAGCATACTAATCATTAAGTGCCTTAGAAAAGTTTCACAAAAATGTTTACACTATTTTTTATTCCCATCTCTCTCCATCGATAAGAGTTCTCATGCTTCTCGTACCCTAAACTCTGCAGGAATGCATCACCACCAATTTGCTACAATTCCTTCTCAAATTTCCATTCTGCTTTCAAAGTGCAAAAGAACCCACCCAACTAAGCCTGTCTTCAGAGACCAGAGGTCAGGGGATAAGATAGGTGGGGACAGAACTGGTAACCAGCAAGAGGGAAAGGCTGGGCACATTTGTGCATTTACTTTTGATCCCACCACTCATGCTTGTGTTTCTTGAAATCAGTGTTAGAATTATAAATGTGGCAGTGAAATGAGTTTTTGTGGTCTAGACTTGGGAGAAAAGGAGACACAATTGGAAAGAGGGAAGGAGTCAAGGATTTGGCTTATAGTGCTGGGTTTTACAGTGAGCCTCCAGACCCAGGAGTGTGCTTTTGGAAACAAATATATTATCTTGGATTACCAATTTCTCAATAGATTAGTCAGCCTTGTGAACAATTCATTCACCCTCTCATCCTTGTACTCTTCATTCCATAAGCATTGAGTGATTTCTATTATTTATATATAATAATGCAAAAGCAGTCCCCGACTTCGAGTTTATGGGAAGAGACAGAATGAACTTCCCTGCTTCTTTTATATGCCCCGATTCTGAACCCATCGTTCACTTCTTTCTTTATTTCACTAATTGGTTCCACCACACCCTATGGAATGTGGAACTAGACTTTCCAGAAGTACTTTTTACTTTGCTGTAAGTTCTTTTTCTGTCTCTTGGCCCTCATTGAAAACCGACTTTCTCTAAATGATGCCACTTTCCTTGAAAGCTTCTCTGAGTCAGTACAACTGAAGTTCCAATATAGCCTTTTGCCTGTGACACTGCTGCCAGATCACTTTCATTCAACCACAACGTCTTGAACTATTAAACTTTCTTTACAGCATTCTTTGTCAACTTTTGGAGAGAGGATTCAACACAAGCCACCATAATTTTTCAACACAATATGCTTTTATATTTCTTCATAACCAACCTTAACTCTTGCCTGGCTGTATTCATTTACTTGTGTATTACTGATGTTTCATTACTAGCCTGTACTGAGTGTTTCTGCTCATGTTCAACAACGATTTCAAGAAAAACTTGTGCCAAGAAGTGGCAAATCACAGTCCCCTCCTTCAGAGACCACAGTCCAAAGAAGTTAAAACGGCTTTTAATATAAAAGACATTAGGGGACTAGTCATTGTGCTCTACTCCTTATCACTTAGTTGCCTTTCTGACCCCATAGTATTCTGTGGGCACCAGAATCGCTGGCTTGCTTACTCTTACTGATCTTTGCTTTATGATCTCTTTATTTAGCCCTGTGTAACTAAGAATTGCTGCAGAAAACAGTGAAACTGTCAATACAGCCTATTTTAAATTTATGTTACCTTTATGTCCTTGCGGTTCTGAGTAATTCTTTTCATTCATCTTATTGATTTGCTAGCATATTCTCCATGGTGACTTGAACTTTTCTTCTCTTGAAGCCACCATCAGCCCCTCTTGCTTAGGACATGAATCATCTCTTTGCCTAACACATACCCATCCACTTATTAGTCACTTAGTAGCCATCTCATTTGTCAGATCTAGTCTCAGTGCTTGTCTTCACATACTTTTATTTTACTTAATAATGGCCACACATCACAAGAATCATGTTGAACCTGAATATGCCAGCAAGAAGCCATAAAGTGCTTCCCTTTAACATGAAAAGGTGACAATTCTTGATTTAATGACAAAAGAAAAATCATATACTGAGATTGCTAAGATCTACAGTACAGTACTTTTATTCAGTTTATATTACCATATAGTTATATTTCTTTTTAGTTGTTAATCTCTTACTGTACCTTACTTATAAACTTTATCGATTGTATGTACATAGGAAAAAATATAGCACATATACTGTGTATAGGGCTCAGTTTTGAGGTTTTACAGGAGCACATCTATTACAGATAAGGGAAGACTACTGTATCTTTACTCCTAGAAAGCTGTTTTTTGCTCCCACCATTGCTCACCAGAAGATCATACATATGACACCCTGTTTGCTAAAGTTCATTGGTATTCTCATAATCATATTTGATTATTATTGGCCATTTCTTTACCCCCCCTTTTTTTGGTACTGGGTATTGAACTCAGGACCTTGTACTTGTGAGGCAGGCGGTGGAACCACTGAGATAAATCCCTGGCCCTAACCATTCCTTTATCTTAACATATCCTTCTTGGCTCTGGAGAACTCCTTAGCTCTGAGACATTTTTCTACCTCTCTACTCTGTGTCTCTTCTAGCCTCTCCCAAGTTCTAGAAATAGTCATTCACTACCTATTTTAAAGCCTTTCTTAGTGTTTGCTGAAAGTATGCAAAGTAATGTGCCCTGGGCACAAGTCAGCCTTTATGAAAGGTTTGACCAAACTGCACAAGGTAGGGTTTCAGGACCCAGGGCTGGCTCAGACAAAGAACAAAACGGAGCAAATGGCGTCTTTTTTTTTTTCCTTTCCGTATTGTTAAACATCACTGAAATTTAAGTCAGAAACAAATTCAGGAGATAAGGTACAGGAATAGAACACAAAGGGTAGAGTGAGCTAGAAAGGAAGGACAATCTCATCAGATATTGTAAATGATGCTGAACAAGATCTTAGCCTACATAGGCCATCAGACTGGTTTAACAGTAAAGTCAAGAAAAACAACAAAAAGGAAATAAATATAGAGTACTTGTTCTTGTTCTCATTCAATGTATAGAAATCTGTTTCATCTGTAAAGTGTGGATCACAGTAATACTTCACAGGGTAAGTGAAGAGTAACTAAAACAGTATACATAAAGAACAAAGTATACGGCCTATTACATAGCAGATGTTATATCCTATTTCGCAAACTATGCAACATAAATCTTACAAAAGAATATTGTCATACTATCAAATTTCATTCTTTCAATTATTTAGCATACTCAAAAACGTAATACTAATGGCATACAAATTTTAAAATACTATGTGAGTGTATTCACAATAATGTGGTTCTCTCTGGTGCACTATTAAAATAACTTTCTTAAGTGGTAAGGATAGGGGAAAGATAATAAGGGAAAAGAAAAAATATGAGAAAATGAAAAAATAGAAATAAAGTGTTTGTAAATGGGGAGGGGAGAAGGGGGTGAAGGGAGGGCAGGGATAATGGGAAAAAATGAGAAACAAGACCTGTCATGTAAAGGTACAAGATCCCAATAATGAATGAAACTGTACTTTATACCTAAAATGTACAAATAAACTAAAACAACAAACAAAAACTTTCTTCACATTAGTTACCAAAGACCTATTTTGAGAACTTCACAATTTAATTTTTTTTTGTTTAGTTACTTTTGAAATTTTCTAACTTCTAGCCTCTTTTTTTAAGTACTTAGTATTTCTCTTAGTATTTTCTTGCTTTTTGGATTATAAGCTACTCTTATTCTCTGGCTATCAGCCTAAGAATTCTTTGTCTACATTACAGGGCGGCAGAGGAAAAGACTGCTGTATCACATTGTATTTGCAAAGCAATATAGTACAGTGTTGTAATCATGGATTATGGACTCATGATGGGTCCTTAGGCATACCTATTTAACTTCATCATATCTTGGTTTCTTCATCCGTGAAACACAGGTAATAGTGGTGACTACCTCACAAAATTACTGAAACAATTCAAGGGAGTAATTTATGTAGAACTGTGCTGACAGTTACAAGAGCCTAATATATGTCTGTTATCACATTTATTTAGCTGTCAGTCTCCATCCTCTTTAGCCCGAGGACCAACCCAACTCCCAGGCCCCCTCCACCTAGTACTGGAGATTGAACCCAGGGCCTTTGCACAGGCTGAGATACATTCCCAGCCTTGTGTTACGTTGAGACAAGTTACCCAGACTGGGTTTGAACTTGGACCCTCCCGCCTCAGTTTCTCAGAGTTGGGATTACATGCATGTGTCACCACGCCAGGTTCTTATACTCTTACGCTAAGTATAGGGTTCCGAACATAGCGAGCCCTGGATATATTTTCTTGTAACATAAAAATAAACTGGCAAAACCTTTGGGTCCAACTTTTGCCTCACTAGCTAGATGATCTCCAAAAACACATCCAACCTACCTAGGCCTTGTTTTAGTCTATGTAAAGTGTAACGCCCATCTGTGAAAGGTTTTGTGTCAAGGCAATGTATCCACAGAAGCTCAAGGCATGTCTTAAAATGCCATACAAACTATGGCTGTTTATTGTAGAAGCGGAGTCTGCGTCTTCCCTCCCCTGTGGCACGTCTCGTCCTAGCCCCCCTTTTCCCAGTCCACACCCTTACTGCGCCCTTGGCCCGCAGTCCCTCGAGATTGCAAGCGTGGGAGCCCCGGTCCAGCGTAGGTCCCTCACGGAGACCCGCGCCCTCCTTCCTTCCTAGTCCGGACGGACGCACTTCCGGCGGATGTGGGCGGGCAGCCCCCGGAAACGGAAGTGAGCGGTGGGGCCGGCTGACGGTAATTGAAGTCAGAGGCTGTTCACAGAGTGGGCTGAAGATGGTGAGTGAGCCCCCCGGGCGGCCCGAGTTCCGGGCGGGTTTGACAAGGTGGCGCGGCAGAAACAGGCTGTGGCCTCCCAGATCGTCTCAGGCTGGCGGCTGTGGCGTGGGAATAAGGCCGGCTTTGCGTCCCAATATCTGTCGAGTCATGGGGTTGGTGTGGATTGTGGCTGTCTCCAGGGCAAGGCTCAAGCTCTGGTCCCGCGAGCTATGCGAGCAGCGGTTCGGCTTTACCCTGTTCTTATTCCTCTTCGGTCGATTGCATGCGTCCTTCTCCAAGACCCTTAGCAGGTCCCTGCCTCTTCCCGGTAGCTGGCGCGCAACTGACTAGGGCTCTGAGTTTTTAGGGATGGCGCCGCCGACTCCGCTTTCCCTAATGGTAACATCTGGGTCCCAGGAGACCTCAAGCCCTATTCCCCTTCTCACTCACTTGCCTCTTGCAACAGCTTGATAACCAACACAACTATAGGTTACATTTATATAGTTCGACCTTCCTTTATGTTTCCCCAGAGTTTTGTAGTAGGCCACGTGTTGGGGGGGGTCAGTTATTCCGCATTAGTCAGCATTGTTAATACATCTCTTTCTCCCCCTTTTCACCTCTCCTGACTGCCCCCCCATCTCCTTTTCCTTTTACTTAAAAGTTGTGATATTTGGGAAGATGCTTAAATCTTCATTGCCACTGACTCAGGTATCAACGCTGCAGGGAGGCTACCTGGCCAAGTCTAGAAAGTTTCTTTTGGAAAATACTGCTAATCACTGTAAAGTTTAATAAATATTCTCAAATGTAACTGATAATTAGTAGTTCATATGTTTGTTTTCGTCTGTTACTTTATTAGAATCCTTAAGTACTTATTCTGATATTTCACAGAAAGAAATTGAAGAGATGATGATAGCAGTAGAACCCAAAGATCAGAATTCCTCCTTTCTTGGTGCATAGAAGAAACCATTTTTGTCTCATTATAATAAAGGATCCTGGCAGGAGGAGGATGCTCATGTAGGATAATTTAGATGGTAACATTTAGAAAGTTAATGTTACAACTCCAGTCATGAAAGGAGTTTGGCCACCTGGTACAGAAGGAGTAAAGAAGGCCAGAGAGGTGTGTGCTTTGCTGGCAGTCACAAATCAGGTTTGTGATAGTCCACACTAGATACCAGATTCTTTTCCATAAGTTCCTGTATGTAGGGAGGTGGAAACTTGGTGTGCAGTTTCCAAGATTCCAGGCTAAGGACCTTCAACCTTGTTCTTCAGACATTGATGAACCAATGGAAGTGTTTTGTTTTGTTTTGTTTGTTTTTAGCAGCTTTGGGGGGTTTAGTAAAACCCTCATATGCAGTATTGGAAAATAAGTTAGTCTAGCACAGCAAGACCCAGTAGAATGCTGTGAGAGCCTGGTCAAGGATAGAGTGAAAAAACCGTGGGCATGATACAGTACCTGATCAAATAAAACATACAGATGGATTAAGAAATCAGTTAGAAGATGGTTCCTCAGAATAGTTTCTTTTAGAGTAGTGTAAGATTAGATACCAAACTACCTGTAACTGTTCTGTTTTTCTGCAGAATTACAGAAGTATTGTAGCTGAGCAGTGATTGGATTAAAGTCAACATTTTTATTTGCTTGTTAATTAGAATAAGCCCTGGGAGGTAGACCTGTTTTGCCACCCAGCAGAGTACCTGATACATGATAGGTACTAATAAATATTTGGTGATTGAAAATGCAGTTTGAATAGGGAAAGTGGGAAGGGTAGGGGAAAGGTAATAAGGGAAAAGAAAAAAATGTGAGAAAATGAAAAAATGGAAATAAAGTGTTTGTAAATGGGAGGGGAGGAGTGGGTGAAAGGAGGGCAGGGACAAGGGGAAAAAATGAGAACCAAGCCCTGTCATGTAAAGGTACAAGATCCCAATAATGAATGTAACTGTACTGTATACCTAAAATGTGCCAATAAACTCAATGAGAGAAAAAAAAATTATCATGGACATACCAAAAAAAAAATACAGATTGATAGTATAGTTTTGTAGGATGATAATATATCTGTTCCAAATGCACTTAAAAATATTTTTTTGTTTTGTTTGTCACCGCTTGAGATATTTTTTTCAATAGGTCATGTCATACTTGTAGAAATCAAACTTCATGATTCCTTTTTTCTCTTAGCTTCACTGATTGCTGTTTTCTAATTCTCCTGTCTGTTCTTACTCCTGTTTCTTTGTTGTTCTTTCTTGTCTTTAAAGAATGGTATTCCTCAGGATTCTGTCCTCAATGTTTTCATTCTCTGTGAAACATTGCAGCCTAAAGGAGGGATCCTTTCAGTGAAATCAAATCAGATCAGTCATATCATGACCTTTCAGAAGCTATCAAATTTATAGAGTAAAAATTAAATTTCTTTCCATGGTAGGACTTAATGTTTTTTAATCTTGCCAGGATTCATATATCTATTAATATTCATATGTGTGTGTATTCACATGTGTATTAAGCCAACCATCTCAAACTACTTGTGACTTGTTCAAACGGCTTGTAGCTTGTTTATTTATATTTTCATACTTTTATTCTTTTTTTTTTTTGGTATTGAGGATTGAACTCGGGTCCTTGAGCTTACAAAGCAGGTGGCAGAACCACTGAGCTAAATTGCTAGCCCTTTCATACCTTCATTCCTATTATTTCCTGTTTCCTCTTTCATCTAGGGTCCTTCTACCCCTAAATTTGGAACTATTTGTTGTAGCTTATATGTCCGTCATAAATGCTTAAGACACAGTCTAATGATCTAAATTGAGGATTCTTTTCAAGGCAATAGTCCTTGTTTCTCTCCTACTTAAATAATAAACTTTTTACATAAGTATTCTCTCTATATGTTTTAAATTTATATTTAATAGTTTTTTCTTTTTTTAATTTGTGTTGTAGAATACCAGAGGACTTGGATCTCAGCTAAAGGACAGTATACCAGTTACTGAACTTTCAGCAAGTGGGCCTTTTGAAAGTCATGATCTTCTGCGGAAAGGGTACGTGGTGGGTTGTGGCTTTATCTTTGTTGTAATAAAATATTTCTGTGCATTATTTTTTTATTTTTCACATAATTCTTTAAATATTTTGATAGGTTATAAGTGTATATTTGATTTGGGAGGTAGCAAGTAATATACCTTGACAGAGTAGGAAGAGAAGAGGCCTAGATGTTTCCAATAGTGGAAGAAAGATCTTGTCAAAGTAGTAGGTTCCCCAAATAGGTCATCCTGCTAGTAGGTGATACCCAGTAGCTTGATTTGGTAGGATCCTTCTTTATACTACTCATAACTTAGCCATTTGCCTCTCTTTTTATCTTATTAACTATTTGAGTAATTCACATGTCTTTGGCAGACACTAGAACATGGCAGGTAAGAGGATGGACTCAATCAGGCTGCCTAGATTTGGATAATGGCTCTGCTTTTACTAGATGTCTCCCTCTGGGCAAGTTACTCCATTGCCCTGTTTCTTGTTTCTTTTTGTTTTCTTTCTAGTTATGCAGAAAAATGCCTAAAAAGAACTCTATTAAAATTTGACCTCTTGGATAATGTTCTGTACAAAGATAATACTCAGTACATGACTGCTACAGGATTTCTGGACTTTCAGTCTCAGATTCTGGTTTAATATTTAGCATGATAAAGACCAGTAATCTGGTTCTAGCTGTGCATCACCTAACAGTACTTAGTATGTGTAAGTAACTGCTACACAGAGGTCCAACTTGTTTATGAAAGACATTAAATATTGAATGTCTATTAGACCCGAAGAAAGAGGCTTAGATATTTTATATAGTGCAAGAAGTATCTCATTAGACTGAAAGTAATAAACACATTATTAGATTCTTTCTAAATATAGAATTACCATTTAACACAGATTTTGGAGGGTTTCCTTTGGTGACTGAAGTCTTGGCCCCTAATATCTATAATAGATACATTTTAAAGCAATTATGGGATAGATAGAATATTTGACTCTGTTTTCCATTTTTTTTGGTACTGGGAATCGAACTCGGGTCCTTGCGCTTGCAAGGCAGGCCACCGAACCGCTGAGCTAAATCCCCGGCCCTTGACTCTGTTTTCTTTTGGTGTGCAGTTCTATGAATTTTAACACATGTCAATTTCTGTAACTATTATAATCAAAATATGGAGTATTTTACTCACCCTACCCCCCCAACAAAAACTCCCTCATGCCATAATCCTATAACCCTAATTTGGAGAGAGATTACTGGGTATTTAATGCCAGTGCCTCATTGTATGCCAAGCTTTTGTTCTACCACTGAGCTACATTTCCCAACCCCTTTGCCATATTATAGTCATACTCTTGGTTGATGTGTTCTTGAGCTATGGATATTGAAATGATATGTAATCTTGCATTTAAATTTTTTTCTTCCAGTTTTTCTTGTGTGAAAAATGAACTTTTACCAAGTCATCCTCTTGAGTTATCAGAAAAAAATGTAAGTTTGTTACCTATGTCTTTATTTTTGACCCCTCATTTGAAAATACTTTTAGGAGAACTTGTGGTTTCATTTTATAAAAACCATTCTGGTTCTGAGGATTCAGCCATGAGGCCTTACTTTCAGTCTTCTTTCATGATAAGATTTCAAATTACTGTTACCATTTCACTTAGGCTCCCTTTCTCTACATCCTATTCTGTGCTTTTTTTTGATTAATGAGCCGCTCTAAGGGTTGTCTCTGTTCTCAATAATTTCTTCATGTGATGAACCTATTTTTTCCCTGCTATTTTTGCTTTTGCTATCCAAGTGCCAGTTATGAATGTGGATGATCTAGCTTTGACCTCTTAAGCCTTGGATTTTCAAGCTTCTGAGGGACACACATATCCACTAGCCACAGATACACAATATGACATAGCCCCATTTGTAAGATGTGTAAGCTTAATGGAAAGGATAAACAGTAGATAGGGGGCTTCATAGAATCCTAAAGAGGCCCAAGGATGCAGCAACTACTCATCAGTTCCTTCTTTTAATCTGTCTTTTTTTGCTTTGTAGGAAGTATCTTGGTATAAGAAAGAGTAGAACAAATAATAGAATTAAGAAATGAAAAGCCGGGCGTGGTTGCACACGCCTGTAATCCCAGCACCAGGGAGACTGAGGCAGGAGGATCGCTGTGAGTTTGAGACCAGCCTGGGCTACATAGTGAGTTCCAGGTCAGTCTCAACTACATAGTGAGACCATGTCTCAAAAAACAAACAAACAAAAAAAGAAATGAAAGTTCAAATAAGATGACAAAGTAAAAGCTCCTAGTTGCTTAAGTGCATTCAGGTTTTAACACTCAGAAGTTGACAACTCAGAATAGCTTTAAAAGCATATGAATACTTTTTTGAAACCATAGTTGATCATCTTTGAGAAATGATGGGAGATGTAAAAATTGTCTGTAGATTAAAGATAAATAAATATTCCAGTTTACTAAAAGAGTTCTAATCAAAAGTAGTTTGAGGTTAAATTTGGCCTTGGCTTCATTTTTAAGTGAACTGTTAGTAGATGACTGTGAGCATTTAGTAAAGTAAGCACTGATCACCAGCACCTGAAGAGCTCATAACAACTTAATCTTCATTTACTCTTTTATTAAATTTCCATTTGGGTCGATATAAGGATCAAATTATCTGACAAGGGATACATTTGAGGATAAGATGGTGGGTTGTACTACAGAATGAATTGTTTTTAGCTGTTAACTATACTAGACAGCAATGACTAAGGTTATCAATTTATAGGGGGTATTTGGATTGGGATCTTGACTTCTGCCTTCATCTTACGCATATGATAAACTTAGGAAGGCTGTGTTTTACATAGACTTGACTGTAATCATAAAAAGTATATAGATATAGAAATATATATATGTACATGTATCTGATTTTGGGGGAAAATCTGGTAAGGTTAGGTCATTTTGATGAATAGTTTAAGTGTATCATGGAAAAGGACTAGGCCAAAACCTCAAGGAAAATGTTTATAGAGTTTAGTATGAAGTTCTGCATTTAGTAAAAAAAGTGAATTATATACACTTTAGGTCAGGTAAACCTGACTTGTTACATAAAATTTGACAAGTTTAGTTGAATATATGCTAAGTATAAGCCAGCAGATAGGCTACTAAAAAGAACAGTACATACAGTTTTGGTCTTTATTAATAATGCTCAAATCAAGGCTATTATATACTCTTGTGCTTTCCTATGTAATTAGTCTGGCCATTAGATTTGGCATACTCGTTATTTTCTGAGCAGTACATATTAAGAGAAACTTTGACAGATCTGAATGAGATGGGCCAGAATGGTGAAAAGTCTGTCAACTTCCTTAATCTTCAGACTTGGCTTATGGCAGGAAGGGTTTCTAAAAAAATTCTGTGGTACTGAAATTATCTACCAGTATTAAAGGCTTTTAGTATGGATTGTGTAGTTGAACTACAAATGTACCCCATTTTTTAGCTAAGTAAACTTTGGTAAACTGTTTAAGTTTTAGTCTGGAGAGTTAGTAATAGCCCACCACTTGGTGTGTTTGTGGCCCTCGGCAGCTGGCGGAGTAGGAGCTCCCTTGACAACAGTGATGGGAAATGACCCTTATCATCTACACTAGTGGTTCTCAATTACAACAGGGTGGTATTTTTGCACTCTGGTTCAAACAACTGGTCATCAAAAGTGGCATGGCTAGGAGTTGGTAGATTGTTAATGTTGGCATCTATTGGGTAGAGGCCCCAGGTACTGCTCAGTGTAACAGATTCCACAATAAAGGTTTATCTAGGCCAATATAATAGTACTGCTAACAGTTGAGAAACCTTGATCCATTTGTAGTGTCTTCTGAGCTAAATTCTGGGATAAACTGTTTCTTCTGTTTTGTTATACATTACCACAGCCTAACTTTACAAGTATTTTCTTTCTTTCTTTTTTTCATTAAGTTTATTAGTACATTTATTTAAGGTAAATAATACAGTTAATACAGTTACATTCGCCATTGGGATCTTGTACCTTTACATGATGTATCTTGGTTCTTATTTTTTCCCCATTCCCCTGCCCTCCCTTCACCCCCTTCACCCTTCCCTATTTACAAAGACTTTGTTTCCATTTGCAAGTGTTTTCTAATTCACACATTGATTAATAATTGCAGTTTAATAATCACAAGTTGGGTGTATTTATCACATCTATATAAATTGAATTATCTACATAAAATTATATTTACACATCAAGAAGGTAACTATTTAAAGTAAACCCTTCACTTAAAACATCAGATCATAGGGGCCAGGGATTTAGCTCAGTGGTACTGCCGCCTGCTTTGCAAGAGCAAGGTCTGGAGTTTAAGCCCCAGTACCCCCCCCAAAAAAAATCAGACCATGTGCCTGTAATAAAATGCAGATTTTTCCTAAGGGACGCCTATCAAAGTTTTGCTTTGTCAAGCTAAAGTAATTAAAAACTACATTGCTAATACCATACTATTTTTTAACCTTTTGCCAGCACATATGTGTCATACATATTGATCACATTCATTGTAGGAAATTTATATCTGTACATAATATAACTTAATTTTTTTTTCCATTCTTTTCCCCTCCAACCCTTCTTTTCCATTTACAAAAGCTTTGGTTGCATTTATTCCCTTTTTTTTTCCCTTTGCCTTTTCCCCTCTCCACTCTGTTGTCCCCTTCCCATTTGAATATGTTCTTTCTACTTCCTAATATCTGCCCTCTATTGTACTCCTTATTTACCCTTTGAGTTTCTCACACAAGAGCAATAATGAAATATTTAAATGTGTGTGTCCAATCTATTTCACTTAAGATTATTGTATCCAGTTTCCCACAAATTACTCAAGTTTATCATTCTTTATGACAGAGTAGCACTGTACTATATATATAAATACATTTTCTTTATTCATCTGTTGATGGGCATATGGGTTGTTTCCAAGAATTAGCTATTATAAATTGTGCCGCTATAGACATTCCCCTCTTCTCCCTTTAACCACTCTTCCCCTCATTTATAAAAGCTTATTTCCAGCTGGGTGTGGTGGTGCACGCCTGCAATCCCAGCACTCGGGAGGCTGAGGCAGGAGGATCTTTGTGAGTTCGAGACCAGCCTGGGCTACATAGTGAGTTCCAGTTCAGTCTCGACTACATAGTGAGACCCTATCTCAAAAAATTAAAAAAAAAAAGCTTATTTCCATTTGTCTCTTCTGCTCTTTTTTCTTTCTTATTCCTTCCTGCCTTCCAATTTAAACATTTTTTTCCCCATTTTCCAATATTTGTTACACATTTTGGTCTGACATTGTACTTTTAAACTTCATATATGTGGCCCCAGTCATGTCTCAACTAGTCCTTAATCTCTCAGTAGATTTTTGATGAAAGTGATTTTTTTGGATGAATGGTAGAAAAAAATCCTATTAAGAGGGTAGAGGGTACTAAAAAATAATCACAAGAAGTCATTTTCTTCATTATGATTACCTTAACTTAAATCTTTGTAGCATTCTGTATGTATATCATACTACCGTCATTAGGAGCTATTTTGAGAAAACTTTTGTTTTAGAACCCAGAGTCAAGTTGATTAAATTAGGATAAGCATTTCTTAAAAATAGTATCAGTGCTTAGTAAAAATGATTCTGAAAAAATTTCTCAGTAGTACCCAAAACAAATTGAAAAAATTTTTTTCTGGAGGATTTTAATTCCTGAATTAACACAAGAGTGACATTTAAATATTGAAGTTTAAAAAGATAATGGTTTGATTACTGTATATTTCTTCATGAAATCCTTTGAAATATGTATTTTCATACGTAGAAGTTCACAATTTTTGTCTTTCCTGATTTCAGATTATTTACACCTTTTCTTTGGTGTAACCAATTCTGTACTACTTCTAATCAAAAGCACTGAAATGTGCTTATGTGTGCCTTATTATGTATACTTCTGTAATATCAAAAGCATTCCTTAATTATTCAAATTTTAGGAAATAATTACACAGGTGAAGTATACCTGCAAGCTGGATAAAATATAGACATAAATGTTCTAAAATTTATCATAAATTAATCAAAATGCTTTGTTTTTAATTTGGTATGGATATTAAATTCCTTTTTCTAAGTATTGTGTTATATATGTATCAATGCATTGTCTTTTGTAGTTCCAGCTCAACCAAGATAAAATGAATTTTTCCACACTGAGGAACATCCAGGGTCTCTTTGCTCCTCTAAAATTACAAATGGAATTCAAGGCAGTACAACAGGTGAGTTTAGGCATATGTTACTGGTGGGTCCCACATGAGTTGGTATCAGTCTAAAGGACTCAGAATTCTGTTTTCTGTTTTTGTAACAGCTGTTCAAACCTTACTTTTTCTGTTCCCTTAGTCTGTTTTACTTCCTACTCTTTAGGATGTGACTTTGATTTCTTCAAAGAGGAAAAAAAGCCATTAAATGGAAAAGTGGAAATTTTAGACTGTGTCTGAAAACTTGTCTGCATCTACTTCTATGTTTTTCTGGTTTTTGAGGGTTATGTTGAAGTTGAGATCCCTGTGGTTTTGAGATGCACTTTGAGTATAGCTTGGTGTACCTGTTGCTAAGAAGTAAGTAATCAGTTCTTGAAAGATGTCCTTCCAATTGTGAATATCCTTCACCTATGCTTTGGCATCTATCACATAACACTACTTCAAAGAATTCTGCTTATCAGTAATCCTAAGACTTCTTCAATCTCACTTTCTCTTTGCTCTGTTTCAGCAGCTGTATTCACATTGTATCCCAAATCTCTAGAAAATTCTATCACAATAAAGGTGCTTTTACAAGTTGAGGATTTTTTTGATGGTTTTGTTTTTTGTTTTGAGACAGGATTTTGCCCAAACTGGCCTCGAAGTGGCTCCTTCTACCCCCAACACAGCTGACTCAATATGAGGTTCTTAAAAATGTTTCCTGTCCATACTGCTCTGCCTCCTATTAATTCAACTCATCATTTTCTGGCTCCCATCAAATCAATGAATCTGCTCCTGACAATATAGACATTTCTTTACCCACGTTTAACTTGAACTTTTTGTGGTATTTGACACTCAGACTCCTTCCTTTTTCCTTTGACTTATAGATCATCATCATATTTTTTCTGATTCCCCTCCTCTGAAACCCTGAAGTCAGGTGTCTGTGTAGATTCCTTTTCTTTTGTCTATTTGCTGACACCAGTAATTTTAATACCACATCTTAAGTTCTTGCCTCACCCTATTTCCCACCTAGTTCTGTTATTTCAGTTACCATTTATATGTTGATGACTACAAAGTTACAATTCTCATGAGCTATAAGCATATGCTTTTCCAATTGGAAATCCACTGGCACCTCAGATCTCCCATGTACAAATATAGAATAACTCATTCTTCATACACTCTATCATGTTTGAATAAGTTTCTGCCTAAAGGTGTAGGGGATGTAAGAAGAGTAGGGGAAAGGAAATAAGGGAAAAGAAAAAAATATGAGAAAAGGAGAAAATGGAAACAAAATTTTTGTAAATAGGGGAAGGTGGAGGTGTGAAGGGAGGGCAGGGGTATGGGGAAAAATGAGAACCGAGATCTGTCATGTAAAGGCACGAGATCCCAATGATGAATGTAACTGTACTGTATACTTTAAAAGTACCGATAAACTCAATGAAAAAAAAGTTTCTACCTAAGGCATAAATTGAAACATTAACCATGGTTATTTCACTCAGTGCCTTATCCCCCAACTCCTTTCCCACCCCACCAAAACAACAGTAATCAGTCAGGATTACTGCAGCACTCACCTCAGCAGCCCTTTCATCCAGCTATTCATACTTGAGCAAGAATAATGGTTATAAACCACAAGATTGATCATGTCATTTCCTTGGCTTTGCACTCAAGATAAAACCCTGCTCCTTAATGTGACTCTCTGAATTGGCTTCTTGTTTCCTACTATAGTCCAAACCCTTCTAAACTATCTGCAGTTTTCTGATTATGTTCTTTTACCTTTTGGTTTTGCCCATGCTAGTATGGGTTTCTTTCTCTGACCTAAAATTTGTCTTTTTCAGTAAATAATACTACAGCTGTATTGGCTAGTCATTCTGGAAGACACTTTGAGTATTTTTTCTAAGAATAAAAATCTAAAAAGAGCATGGCTTCAACTCAGATTGGCTTGAGTGTGAATCTTGGCTCTATCATTGAAGACATTTCTGAACCTCAGATTTTTTTTGTGTTTCTAGTGTGAAATGGAGAACAGAAAGAGCAGTATACAGTTATTCTAAAGATTAAATTAAGTGATATACGTTAGCTTCCCTTGTTTTGTCATGTTACTTTGGATTCAACTACATATAGTTTATATTTGGAACCCAGGTTTGTAATATAATTCAAAATTATTGTCCAAAACTTTGAGCTGTTTTTCTCCTCATCCCTTTACTTATACAAGTCTTGTCAAGATATTTAACAACTGCCTGCTCATTCCTGCTTTTGATGCCTTCTCAGGATTGTATCTCTCTGACTACCTGCCAAACCCTTTTCCATCTGGTTTAATTTATAGGCTTCTATTTGTGTTTCTTCCTCTTTCTCACTTCCTTTTTTTTTTTTTTGGCTTAACAGTCGAGAAATATTTTTTTATGCTGTGAAGATTTAAATACTATAACTCTGTAGGCCATTAGAAGTTGAAAATCTTTACCCTGGATGCATTTTGGCATCAGGAGGGGTGGAATCTTATTATCATTGTTGTCTTAAATTCTCAATGTATGGTTATTTTTTAAGTCCTATTGTCATTTAGTTACTGACTATCTGTGACTCTTGGTAGTCTTCTGGCAATACCCAAAGTTATCTTCATTGACTGATTATAACTGCTGGACAACCAACAAAGAACAGAAACTGAAAATTTGGTTGGGCAACATTAATGAATACTATGTGCCAGTGATCATCCTACACACATACTTTGCACTACACCAGTTTGTATTATCCAGTTTTCCAGATGAAACTGAAACAGGGACGAAGCATGCATAGAGCCATGTGATTAGTTAAATTTCAATCTAGATCTATTTGCCTTCATAACCTATGCTTTGTCCACTTTACTGTATGCTTAGGTCCTAGTCTACAGCATATTTATTTAATACTTTCAAAAATAGATAATCATGTTAGTTTTGGAATAGTAGTCATGATGTTTTTAAAGGCTTCTCAAGTGACTTTGATCTGTGTTTCTGGTTACCATTAGTTTGAAAAGCTCATGCCTTACATTTGTACTATGTGCAGTATAAAACAGTATACAAAATGAAGTGATCATTTACTAAGTGGAAGAATGCTCTCACTGAGTTGGAGTTTCTTCAAATATATATATATATGTACACACACACACACACACACACATACATATACACAGACACATATCAGGAAGGCCTCTTTGGGCTCTGGGATTTTGTGTTTCACTCTGTAGTATGTATTGTAACTTTCTTGCACAGAAGGAAAGCTTTAAAATACATGCAGTCTTGATGGGATTATTAAGTGTTAATGCAAACTATAATTTCAGTGTTTTAATATATTTTGAAAAACTTTTTGAAAACTTTGTATCAAAAACATGAACTGATCCCCACCCACCACCCTGGTTAAATTGCCATTTTACTCATTTTTATGAATTTGTTAAAAAGTGAAAGCATGAAATTAGATTAGATATTTTGTTTTTTTCTTTTTTTAACTAGTATATATTTGTTATACATAATAATTACCTTCATCTTGGGAAATTGGTACATATACACGTCACATTTTAAGCCCTTTTTACTTTTCCTTCCTCTCCATTGGTTTTTTTCTAATCTTGCCCTTTGTTCTTTTCCCAAAGGTTCAGCGTCTTCCATTTCTTTCAAGCTCAAACTTTTCATTGGATATTTTGAGGGGTAATGATGAGACTATTGGGTTTGAAGATATTCTCAATGGTAAGTGTCACTCAGCACCTCTTTTTTGAGCCTTAAGGCTTGGTGACAACAGCAAGCAAAACAGAGTTCTTGTCCTTGGGGAACTCAGCCAGTTGAACTCACTTGGTCTTTATTCACAGCAGTAAGATAAAACTTAATAACTGTTCTTTAACTGTTTTTAAAACTGAAGATTATTTATGAATAATTCTGAGACTATAATCCTTTCATTCAAGTTGTAGTAGTCATTTAGTCCATATTCTGAGCATCATGTCTCATGCCTCAGTCTACTACCCCATTCCTAGAGTAACTTAAAGTCTAACTGTTTCACTATTCGCAGCATTTGTGGGAGCAGTTTTTAAAATGACTGGAAATGATAACATAAAAGTGTTTTTTAAAAAAATAGAATTCTCAAAATGATTTTTGTGCTACTAGAAATGATGAGTAGGAAAGAAAACCCTTTCATTCTTAAATTTCCCTCAATAAGTGTATCACACAAGAGATAAGTGACTTTTAAGTAAGAACAATGCATGCAGCATTCTCTATTGTTCGTGGACTTGAGGAAGATAAATACAATTCTGGCCAGTACTCCCTTTGTTCATTAAGCACTAGCACTGCAGGAGACACACAAAAACCCAACAGGATTAAGTTTCATTAGCTATGCTTGGCTGCAAATGTCCAGTAAGGATGAAACAGAAGTCTAGTGAGCCTTCTTGGGAATCTTTTCTGAGGGAACTTCTCAAATTCTGGAAAACCTGAGATTCCCAAGCACTTTTAAAAGGAGTAAAGTGATGATTAGGCCTACATATTCTTATATTTAGTTATAAAAATGCATTTATTTAAAATCTGTTTCTGAGGTGGGGAAGGGAGGGCAGCGGTATGGGGAAAAAATGAGAACCAAGATCTGTCATGTAAAGGTACAAGATCCCAATGATGAATGTAACTGTACTGTACACTTGAAAAGTACCAATAAATTCAATAAGATAATAAAAAAATCTGCTTGTTTAATTCTGTGTAAAGGAAGGAGCTTTTGAGTAGTTAATTCATTCAGATATTATGTGTTAAGCACTGGGTTAAGCTCTGAATATACAGTGGTAAACAAAATAAACATCTGCTTTCTAGTGGTAGAGGCAAATGTTAAACAGAATAAGGTATATAAATTGTGATGATTATTAGGAATAAAAGATGTTGGGTTAGGAAAGGTAGGTGCCTCTGGGAATATGAGAAATAAGTTGATTCCTGAAATACACTTGAATTAGTTTAGGTGAAAGTAGAAGGAAAATTTGTTTCATCATTATCTGTCTATAAACTAACAGCTAAAGAACTCTGAAGGTTAGAAATCTTACTCCTTACAAGGTGACAAATTAACCTACCATAGTTTAATGGATGCTGGTGGAGAGTCGAGATTCCTGGAGACAAAAGACATTTTACTATTCACAGCAATCATAGTAACCAGAGAGTACTAACATTTCTATTGGGCTCCTGAGCCACTTTTCCTATAAGATACCACAAGAGGAGGATCAGGTGCTACATGCATATATGGTGTATTTTGTTTCTGGGGAGGAGTTCATGTTCAGGGCACCTAAATTTTATGATGGACAGTAAATCTGCCTGTCTATCTTTGGAGGCTGTTCACTCTAGAATCAGCCTTGACTCCTGTAGGTAAAACTTTTTGTAACATTAGTCTTTACATATTTCTGTATTCAGATAGAGGGAAGCTTATGAGGGGTGTGGGAAGGCTGGTGGGGAAAGGACGTTAAAGGTAATAGATTTTTATAATAAATGTTTTACTTTGTGTGCGACACACATGCATGGTGTTCCTTAAAATTGGAATTGTATTAGATGTTAAAATGGAAGTTTTAAAAACATTTAAAAAAGAAGAAATAGCCTTGAACAGACAGTCCAGAGCAAAGGCAGTGTTTCTGCTCCCAGAAGTTGTAGAATTGTGAGACCAGTTGGGAATTGTTTCCCAATATATAGTGGGGCACTATAAGAAGTGTTTTGTGGCTGGGATGGTCTGAGCAAAGTAGAGAGGGGAATAAGAGGAGGTTGAAAAGCTAGACAAAAAACAGATAACGCAAGGCTGGTAGACCACAAATAGAAATTGGGAGTTTATTAAAAATGCAACTGAAGGCCGGGGATTTAGCTCAGTTGGTGCCGCTGCCTGCCTCGCAAGTACAAGGTCTAAGTTTGATCCCCAGTACCAAAAACAAACAAACAAAAAAATGCAACTTAAAGCCATTGAATGATTTTAAGCATAAATGTGATGTCATATAATTTCATGTTTAAAAGGTCACTAGCTACCTTGTGAATATCTCTGTTGTTATTCCTTGGATCTCTGTAAGGTAGATATTAGCTTGAAAGATCCCATTTGGGTTGATGACTTGGAACTGCTACACTGCACTCAGGTGGTTTCCCCTTTGTGTCTGAGCACTGTATGAATTATTGAGGATTGATAGTTTTTGCTTGCTCTTCAGTGAAGTGCTTGACCAAGAAAATTCTTCAAATTTTGCAGAGGCCACTAGGAAAGTCAAAACTGGACTTTTTCTTGGTGTAGGAAAGCAGTTTTCACTCACTCCAGTCCTGTTACTTTAAGATAAGTAAACTGAGGCTCACAAAGGACTCAGTCTACTCTCAGTATCACAGTGAACTTGTAGCACAACTGATACTAGACCTGCAATCTACATAGCTTGGTTATGTGTTGTACTGTATTGGTTCATTTGGAAACACATTCTTTATAAAGAAAGTTAGAAGTCAGAAGCTTAAAAAAGTAGAGTTTAAAAGAAAGTTGTAGTTAAATAAGTATAATCTCTGCTCAATAATCTAACTTTACCATTAAAACTCTGATTCCTCATTAGTACCGTTTCCATTTTTCTCCTTCATTCCTTAGTTACCTCCTCTCTGATGGTCTAGACGTTTTTTACTGTGTGTTTGTACAACTATATAATCAAAAAATGTCTGGCATTGCTTTGTGTTTGTGTTTTAGTACAAGTAGTAACATATTGCATATCTTTGTAAGATATGTATGTATTGATGGGTGTCATTTTTTTCTTTTCTTTTACTTGGTAACAAAGCAGTGCCTATACATCTTTGCCTATTCCTTGCACTCATTTGGGCATCTTTTTTAAAAATTAAGATTTTGCATGCCTGTTACATACACAGCAGTTTATTGCTATAATTGTGGCAGTATCAGTTGTTAAGGCTATTTTGTAGGCTGACAAATGAGGATATTAACTGCTGAATGATTGTGACAATAATTTCCATTCTCAGGAAATCTAGAAAGGAAACATCCATATTGGCTATATTGAACTGTACCTCTTGTAGTCACTTTTGTAATGTAGATTCATTTTTATAAAATCATTTGGTTTTATTCTGTTTTTAGACTAGTTTTGAGGAGTAGGAGACAAAGGCGCTGTCTTCAGGGAGCTTTCTGTTATTAGTTTTAGAAACTTTTAGATGTGTTATCACAATTAAAATAAGACTTTAAAAGTTTTCTTGCTTTAAAATTCTAATTTATGTTTATGTGTGTGCAGGAAAGTAGACAACTATACAGATAAAACATTTTTGCAACTTATTATTACTTTGTACTGGGGATCAAACTCGGGACCTCGGACTTGTGAGGCAGGTGGCAAAACCACTGAGCTAAATCCGTGACTATTTTTGCAACTTAGATTGAGATTATTCCCAGAGTCATCTGAGAAGCCATTGGAAAAGTTCAGAACCTTGAAAAATAACTTTTTTTTTCTTTTAAAATCAACTGTATTAAAATATAATTGACAAGCTATCTGCTGCACCCATTTTTAGATGTATAGTTCTGTGAGTTTTAACAAATGCATAAAGCTGGGTCTCCTCAATCAAGATTGAGGATGTTTTTGTTGGTCCCTTCACAGTCGATCCCCCAACTCTAGCCCCAGGCAACCATAGGTCTGTTTTCTGTCACTTTAGATTAATTTTGACTCTTCCAGATTTTCACGTAAGGAGAATTACTGATTTTTTTTTTTCTTTTGAGAATCTTCTAACATGTTTTTTTTGTTTTGTTTTGTTTTCAGATCCATCACAAAGTGAACTCATGGGGGAACCACACTTGATGGTGGAATATAAACTTGGTTTATTGTGATACATGTGCTGTTCATGAAGCAGAGGGCTGCATCTTGAGATAGTTGTCTTTTGATGTACATGACATTAAAAGTACTGACACAGGAGAATTTCTGCTTAATCATATTAGTGATGATTTGAAATTATTTGAGTCTTTAGATTATGGCTGTATGACAGTTGAAAGCCTAAAGGTAGATGAGATCAAAGCTCCCAATTTGTAATAAAACAGTAGCCTTCTCTATCTTTCTAAAAGTGTTTCTGATGAATATTAGAAAATTGTCCACAGGTTCCAATTCAAACCTACTTTCTAGGTATTCTATCAGTTTAATTTTAAATGACTGTTATCAGTATTTGAGCCTACACACTTTGTGGTAGCATCTTTCAGAATAAACAGATATACAGTAATAACCTCAGTTCATGAATGCAAAAGTGTTCACTTTTATTTCTGTTCACAAACTCCACATTAAATGACAAACATGGCCATTGCCATCTTCCCCGCACAAACACAAAGGCAGCTCTTTCCCAAAATCATGAAACAAATTAAGTTCATAAACCAAGGTACCACCACTGTAATTGATTTCAGTGGCAGCCCTTAAAATTGAATGTAGTAGATGTTGTGTTTTAGTGTATCTTATTAGAATAATGTTTGCCATATTGTCTCTATTTACATTTATATCTCTACTTTGATCCTGTCATGTTGAAAAGTTCAGAGGTTTTGATTTTGGTCTTTTGTTTTTTGAGACAGGGTCTCACTATGTAGTTGAGACTGATGTGGAACTCAGTATGAAGCCCAGGCTGGTCTCGAACTCACAACGATCATCCTACCTCAGCTCCTGAGTGCTGGGATTACAGGCATGCACCACCATGCCTGGCTGATTTTGGTCTTGTCTTTAAAGTTGAAAAGGCCACCAGAAGGTGTAGACTTAAAGGCTGTGCTTTATAATCTTACTACGTACTTAATTTATTGCCAGGCAACACTGCCAAAATAAAACTCAGCGTTTCCTTATTCTTAATTATATCATAAGAAATTTAAATTTTAAAAAATTCAGATATTCATATACATACTATGCACCCATAAACAAATTACATAATTATGTAAATGAATGTTTAGTATGATTACTTTTATTATATTCTTTATGAACCTGGTATATAAAAGTTAAAAGATTTTTTTAGAGCACTAGTGAATGGATTATCTTTCACTACTTCTGAAATATATTTTGATTTTACTTTTTAAGGTATATTTTTATTAGGTAAGTTACTGATTTATCACATTTGACAATGTCTACAGACATTTTTGGTGTCATAGCTTTAGGAGTAGGCTACTGCTGTCATCTAGTGGGTAGAAGCCAAGAGTACAGCTGAACATCCTACAGTGTGCAGGTATACATGTGTGATCATGTAACAACAAAGTGAAGACACTAAAGGAAAATGATTTTTAAAATTCATAATTTATGTTAGAACATTTTTTATAGCTTAACATAATCTAGATCACATCTACAGTTTTCTTCCTGCAACCAAAAATTATTTAGTTCAAAATGTCAGGAATGCCAAGTTTGTTGAACCTGGGAATAAGTCAAATTTTAAAAAGAAAAATCTATTTTGTTCTGTTGTGATTAAGCTTTGTCTTTGCCAACAGTATTTGCCAGTCCACTTTACACTTAAGTGAGGAAAAAAACAACAAAAACTCACTCATTGTTTTTGGATGTACTGTACTTAAAACAGTTGGAGATTTCTGTGCCTGTTTTGGGAATAATATTCCTTTCCTGACCAATAGGGGGTACTATGAAATTAACAAGTATAGTTTAAATGGAAAATCTGACATAAATTTAGAAATTGGTAGCTTAAATAAAACTTCACTTTTGGGTGATCTTTTGGCTTCTTTTCCTCTTTTACCTTCTGTATTAATACCAGTAAGCCTCATCACTGAAAGCATGTAAGAATTAACTGGCAATCTTTTGAGGACATTTTAATATCAGGATCTGAATGAATCTCAGAAATTCAATAGGATTAGTTGTGGGTTCCAGGAAGTATATTTTTGGAGAGTTCTCTAGAGTGGAGAACATTTTGATTTACATAATTTTCTTTTTTTTCTTGATTTACCTTTGTAATAGAAACATTCTGATGGATTCGCTCTAAATTGGGGTACATATGACTGACTCCTTTGCTTGGGCTCAGTAATTTGCTAGGATAGCTTACAGAATTAAGGAAAATACATTTACCCACTTATTATAAAGGGCATTTCAAAAGATGTGGGTAGCCACATGGAAGAGGCACATAAGGGAAGGTATTTGGGGCAAGAGTCTTGGGGCTCCTATCTTCCCAGAAGACGGCTCCCTCCACGTTTACCAACCTGAAGTTCTGAGATCTACTGGATTTTTATGGAAACCTTCATATAATCATGATCAATTACTAATTCAATTTTCAATCTGTTGCCTTTTTCTGGAGGATGAGGATGGATGTGGTTGGAAGTTCCAAGCCTCTTATTACAGTACCAGTAGTTGATTAAAATTTATTAACACTAAATGATTAGCAGAAAGCATGTCCAAAGGGGGTTCAACCTACTGCTATATTTGGCTTTTTAATATATATGAGAACAAAGGAGTTGGGTTTTAGAAGTGTTAGGGGTTTGACATGGAGTGTCCTCTACTTCTGCACATATGCCAAATAAATAATAGGCTTATACTTTTCATTACTTTCATCCTTTGCTGTGGGTATTATCTTATTTTAGGTTAGCCAAATAACAGCCCCTTGGTCTCCTGCATTTTGTTGTCTCTTTGAATGCAGACATTCAAAATGTGAAAGACAGCCAATTGTGGTAGCACAAGTCTGTAATACCAGTACTCTGGGAGACAGACAAAAGGATCCCAAGTTTGAGCCCAAACAGTATAAAATATCTTGTGAAAACTTGAATGATTATGTGGTGTGTAATCTTATTGGAACCTACAATTGAATAAGTAGTTTTTTTCATATAGGAAAATATTAATCAAATTTTGACTAGCTCTTTTTTTTGGTACTAGGAATCAAACTCGGGTCCTTGTGCCGCCAAGCTACATCCCTGGCCCACTAGCTACTTTAATTAAACAAAAAATGCTGATACTTTATTGGACTTGTTTAATCCATGATTTCAGAATTTAAATTCAGGTTCCTTCATGTTTAGGCAGGAGGATCGCTGTGAGTTCCGAGACCAGGGCTGGTCTGGAACATAGTGGAGTTCCAGATCAGTCTCAACTACATAGTGAGACCCTGTCTCAAAACAACCAACCAAACAAACAAATAAATGCTTCATTAAAAACCTATACTTTCAATTTGTTTTATTATGGATCCTTAAGTGTTAAAGAGTAAGAACATAATGTTTTTCAGTATTTCCAGGGGTTTCTTTTTTTCTCTCTCTAAAGTATGAGACTTTAAAGGTTTTTCTTTTAAAGGTGAAAAATTAACTTTGAAGTTTAGTATTTGCTTCCAGGTCTTGAATTTATTTCTGGGGTTAGTAAAAGTGGTTTGTCAGCTGTATTTTGTCTTTGTGCTTCTTTCTGGTGTCATGACCTAATGGAGACAGGAATAGGAGCTGTATTGTTCACTGCTGTGACAAAATAGAGGTCACATGTAGGATAAGGTTTTGGGTCAGTGGGAGATCAGGTGGAATCCTGCTTTAACTTTGTCTAATCATTTATTTTTGGAGCGATGAATTGATTTTAACCCAAAACTTAACATCACCCCCCCCCCTTTTTTTTCTTTTCAGAACCAGGGATTGAACTCAGGACCTTGGCTTGCCAGGCAGGTGCAGCACCACTGAGCTAAATCTCCAGCCTAGAGATGAAAAGATTTTAACCCAAAACTTAACATCCCCCCCCCCCCTTTTTTTTCTTTTCAGAACCAGGGATTGAACTCAGGACCTTGGCTTGCCAGGCAGGTGCAGCACCACTGAGCTAAATCTCCAGCCTAACATCACCCTTTTTTATTTGTCTTCTGTACTATATAGAAGAAATCTTTCAAAACTTAAAGGTTTTTTTAAACCAACTTTTTATTTAAAAATTTTGAAACTTAGAAAATCTGCAAAATCAATATGAAATACACCCATATGACCTCCGTGTAGATTCACCAGTTTTTAACATACTGTCTTATTTACTCACGAGTAGATTGAGGATAAACATTTTGTCAAGAAGTCCACAAATCTGGCACTTGTTGTGTCTCATCAGGAGTTACACAAAATTGTCCCACTTACTGGTGATGCTAAGTTTGATCATTTGTTGAACAGGTGATGACTACCAGAATGTTGCATTATAAAAATAGTTTTCCTTTTGTAGTCAGTAATCTAAGAAGTAGTAACTTGAGATCTTGGGTATATCCTGTTCCCCAAGAACTTTCACTCAAATGTTTCTAGCATCCATGAAAAATCTGCCCAACTCACTTATCATAGGGTCTTAGGGTCAAGAGAGTTTTGCAAACTCATACTTTATTATTTCTTCTACTTTGTACTGGCTAACAAATTTTTATAAAGTTTCCCCACATTTCTCTACTACTGTCTAAAATGTCCCAAGGGACTCATGGATTTGTATTTAATGTTTTATAATTTATTTCTGTCAATACCCTTTATATGCTCTAATCATTTTGATGAACAGATAGAGCTTCAGTTTAAAAAGAAAATTACATTGGTGTGAAAGTGCTAAATGTAATGTTTAGCATTATTAATGTTACTTCACAGAATACTGAATATTAGTGAGATATTTTAGTTATAGTCATAGAAATACTACCTCATCCATGACGGGAACACCTGCTGACCTTAACTCTCCTGATGTTCTGCAGACCACATAAGTACAATGTGGAGGGGAGATTAGGCAGGCAATGTGTCTTGCTCTCTTCCATAGCGCAGTTTCAAAGGCACTAAGTATGAAGATTTCAGAGATAACACAGGAAACTGAGAAGGCACAGGAAGTGGTGTGCATTTGTTCTTGTAAGCTTTTTGTATAGACTTTCAAATATCCAACAATAGTTAGAAAAATACTAGATAATCTTATGTCCCCATCATCTAGCTTCAATAATATACTCATTGCCAGTCTTTTTTATATTTTTCACCAGTTTTCCCTCTCACAGTTACTTTGAACAAAAT